ATAATTCCACCATTAATTTCTTCAGTGCCATCTCTAAACACAATGCAGAGCAACTAATAGATGTCAATTATCTTGTTAATATTGTCAAAACCTCACTGTATATGACTCTTGATGCTCTTGTTCCTCTGACAAAGAAAGCGGCTAATTACTCCCTGATGTAACTCATAAAAGTTTACCCTGAAGCAGATAACTCATAAACTAGAGAGAAAGTGGTGTTCTGCTTGTTTAGCAGACCTTTGCCTGACCTGTCTGACCTGTCAGTGTGTGTTTCTTTATAATCTCCATCTTTGCTCATAGAGGATCACCATATTGTTTGGTGTTTCACTGTATAATTTTGGGGTCTTTTAAGTCACATCTACATCACTTTCTACCTTCACCTGCAGATGAAACACAAATCATTCATGTGCACATCAAAAGAAATCCTCCTTTCCATCATGTTTGTTGTCCAAATATCAGCTGCTTCTTTTCTGCTTCATCTCAGCAGCTATTTTTATAGAGCTAGCTCACAAAATCAGTATCTCAATGTCAGGTTAAGGTGCTGACAACATTAGACAGAGAGCCCCAATGATCAAATAAGCAGCACTTGGTGGCTTCACTTTTAACATGAAGAAAGTTCCCCTCACGGAGGAAGTTTGATAAGATAAGTTTTGAATTCTAGAATTAGTTTAGAAAATTGTTCATACATCTATTTTCTACTGCTTATCCAATTGAGTGTTATGATCTGGCAAAAGCCTATCCCAGCAGTTATAGTTTAAGAGGCACCTTAGAGTCACCAAGTAACCTAACATGCATGTTTTTGGACTGTGGGAGGAACATGAAACTTCACACAGAAAGTCCGACAGGATCAAACCTTGGACCTTCTTATTGGGAGACAATGTCATGAACCAGCACAGCATCATGCTACCCTAATAAAATTGCATATATGTGGTTGATATTCTTGTTTGAATTTTATGTTTTTTTTAAATGCAAGTCATGCATGTAAACCCTAACATGATTTGCTGGAGGCACACGGATCTGTTAGAGATTATTAGTGATATGCACCAGTGAATGCAGCCTAATCCTGGTTTGAACAAACATTAACAGGAGGTGAAGTTGTGTTTATTGCCTCCAGCTGTTTGAGTTGATCAGATCCCTTTGGTATATCACAGTCCACCTTTCTTTAACAAAGAGACACAGAGTCCAAGCTTTGGGGTTATGATTACATGCAAATCTTTTTCATTTTAAATCAATAAACTAATAAAAATTATGTTGTCAGAAACACAGGCATGAGATTTAAGGTTTTATTGACATTCTTTCTCATATCTGAAATGGCATTGCTTCACTATTTAAAGTGCCAGGTTCACCACTACGTTGTCCTCTTGCATTATGGTACGTTTGAATTTTGCAGTTCCTCTATTCTGGACATTATGGTACAAGCATACAAGCAGGAATCCATGTCATGGTAGTCTTAAGAGTTTGAAAACAAGGCAGTAGGACTTTAACTTCCGGATTTTGTAAAGGCATTTCATCTCTCATTCAAGAGGCTTCTTCACTTCTGAATTGAATAAGAGTCTTGAATCAAAGGTGACCTAAATGTCCCGTCGCCTTCTTTTCAAGCTCCAAAGAGTTGAAACAAGTTTAATATGTAAAAATAATTTTGCACCAAACACTATCTTTCAGCCTATCCATGATATATTTCATGTCATATTACTGAACAGTTTTTGAGAAAAACAAAATGCCAGGTTTTTTTTCTTCTTAAAATGGTAAATGTCCCCAGTTTCAACATTTGATGTTTTCTTTGTTCTATTGTGAATACAATATAGGTTTGTGGGATTTGCAAAGTATTGCATTTTGTTTTTATTAACATTTATAGAGCATCCCAACTGTCTTGGAACTGGGGTCGCATATCATATTAAGCATTTCATAAAGGGGAGGCGTGTGCAGAAACTAGGAAGTAAATTTGAACATGCAACCGATAATGCAATTTTTTTTCCATTTAAAATTTTCAAACACTTTGCTGTAATATAAAAAGACAGTTACCAGTGACAGATGTCAAGTCAGCCTGAGTCAGAATCCACTGAGGATTTTGAGTCACCTCTCAGTGAATTCTTCTTCCAGTGCTAAAATATTTTATAATGTAATCTGAGCAGAATTTTCTATTCATTTGAATTAAAATGATCACGTCTCTGTAGCGCAGTATTGTTTTTACTTATTACAAAAGCACTGCTTTAAAATTGTCTGTTTGTTTACCGTCACCTGTACTGTAATACCCAGAATAGAAGAGCAACACATTTGTAGCCGCAAGTAGCGTTACTGCGTCTTTACAAACTGGTTCACTTAATTACACTAACTCTTGAATTATAACCTTTGATATCAACACCACCCCCCATTGTCACTCCAGCTGAAGGTTTGAACTTGACATCACTACTGTAACACTGCTTAACCCACCCAGACCTGTGGTGTAAATATGCCGACAAGCATATATAAACAGCTTTTCCTCCACAGCAGGAAACAACAACAACAACAACAACTTTTGCTCCACGGGAGAAAGAGCTGCCCTTCAGTAATCAACAGTGGATCCACACTAACAACGATTCAGAGATCAGCTGCTGACCGTCAACTTATCTTTGCTGAGCTGGTCACGTACACAAACATTAAATGGCCAGCTTTCCCAGCCCCTGCTTCCCAGTTCCAGCTGGAGCCGCTCCATAGTTCCAACTGAACTATGGAACTAAATTTGTGTTGTTTGTGGTGGAACTAACCTGTACACAGCTGATGTTAGCAAGGAAAACATTACAGAGTGCTTCACTTACCTTTCACGGAGCTTCCCACAGGAGACGATCAGCTGCGCCACACAGTTCTTGAAAGTGAAAGTTAAAAAAAGACGGGAGTAAACACCCAGCCCAACCCATGACACAGACAATAAAAGATACACTGTGTTTTCGTGTGCGTTATTATTTAAGGTGGAACTTCAATTTAAATCCACAGACCAAAAATTCAAATACACAAAGATAACTTTTCATAAGTTAGTGGGTTAAAGGGTTAATCTATGAAAAATAAGAAGCAGTGCGAGAGCACAAACCTCCACCAGGCAGCTGTCTCTCTGGGCAGTATTTGCTTTTAAGGGTATTGTAATTTATTTTGTATATGTCCATTTTGTTTTCTTTGTTCTTTTTAAATGCACTTTAAGAAATTTCAAAAGATTTATCAAAGGTTGACCAGACATTACACAGTTAATAAAATGTCAGAGGTCCAAAGTAATGTGGTATTTAGAATCCCCATTTATATATTATCCCTTATATTCCTATATGTTGTCCATAGAAACACTGGCGGCAAGAGACATAGTTTTAAACGGCTCTATATGGCATTATTATCACTCTGACTTTCAGATCAATATATCGAACTTGAAAGCAAATGTGACATATTATAGTAAATATGTACTTTCTATAAATGAATACCACACTTGTATAAATCACTCAATGACAGAAAAACACCAAACAGAATGCTGTTAAGATCTGGTCTGTATTCTGAACAGAGAATACAGACTCTATATTCAGACTCTAACTCCCTAGCAGGCTTTAATCTCAGTTATAAAAATCCAGAATGTGTTTCTGAGAAAGATTATTCACTAAAAGGCAACTGCTTCTCTTTTCAGGAAGTTCAAACACTAACAAGTTTTTAATGTGAACATGTTTGTACCCCTAAATCAACACCTGCCCAGCATTTTCTAGATGGTTTTAACATGGCTAAAGAGTTTAAAAACTTTTTTTGGACTTCTCTTATGATACACTCACATAGAGAGAACAGGACCAAACGTGTGCAAAAATCTAAGGCGCTGGTGTGCTTGTGGTGGTCGTAAGCACAGATATCAATCAACAGACTTTTTTCTTATTGTAATTAAGAGTTTGTCAGCATATTTGAGAGGTGGCATTAATCTATTAATGTAGTGTTTAATCTTTTATTAATCTTTATGTTATGTCAGTTTCACAGAAACTAACTTTAAAGCATGAAAGTTGTGATAATGAACTTTACCCAAAGAGGGCAGTGTTAGCTCTCCTTCACCCAGGTAACTTGAAGAGTAACAGTTATACCTGAAGCCATCATATTAAACACACATGACTGGAATTTCCTGATATATTTATTTGTGAAGCGTAATGAGCATTATTTTTTATAAAAATGGGTCCATAAATTGTAATTAAACTTCGACCTCTGACCTCTGACCTTATAAATATATCAGTTGATCAATTGATCATAGATCCCTGACTGTGTGCAGTTTTATTTGCTGACAACTGTTGAAGCACCATCAGAGACCGCCCTGTCCTGTCTTCCACTTGCATTGTTTGAGGTGCGATCTGGTGTCCTTTTGTTCTGCCTGACTCAATGTGAAGCCACAGGCTCTGGTTGTGTCAGACCACTGATACATGTGGTATAAGGTGCCCTTTAAAACAGTAAATCACAGGACTGTGTGTCAGGACAGAGCTGACTACTGGAGCTTTGTTTCTGAGCCTAATTTTATTTTCAGAAGCTGGTGGTGAGATCAGGTACCAACAGCCTCTTGTTCAGGTTTGTACATCAGTATCAGACATTTTTTCAGCTTCTCCATGCAGGTCATATGTGAAGAAATCTGCAATTATATCACGAAGTTTTCATCATTCAGAGAATCCACAGAATGAAGTCGGTTTGGCTCCAGAGCCTCTGGTATATAATCTGCTGATGGCCGTTTAAGCTTCTGCACTTCAGGTGAAGTTTTCATGGTGGTGACTGTCCTCTAGTGGTCACCATTAGTAACTACAGTAGGTGTGGCACACTGATGGTTAACACGAGCTGAAAATATCACTTAGAAAAAAAAACCGACTATAGTTTAACCAGTGAACTAAACTAACTCTGTTTGAAGTAGTTCAAACCACATGAAGCGCTAATAGTTACAGTGGACTTGGTTGTACTTGAACTTCGGTCGTTCGGCTGAGGTAGACTGGTGGGCGGGGCGATCTCCTGTAACAGGTCAGTCTCTGTTTATTTCCTGGTTAGTTAAACTGGCTTTTGCCATGTTTACGTGGATACTTATACTTTGGTAAGTGTTTGTCCGTGGTTTATTATTTGCTTTTGTTTGCAAAGTTGCTCGTTTGTTTGTAAGAGCGGATTTGTAGAGTGTTTATTTTATGTGATTATCAGAGCCCAGCGTGCGGACTGGTTAAGTATGATGGAGAGATCTGTGAAAGCAAGCGCGCTGATAGAAGTGTAGCTTTAACAAGGGAACCTTTTAAAATCGTATCTTGAGGCCAAACCATTAAACTTGTAAAGCGGTTTCTATCAGAAAGTGAATCTGGTGACAAGGAAATTTGGATAATGACTCAAAATAACGTCCCGGAATGAACAAATGCCTGGAGCGAGTAAATGTCTGCTCGGTGCAAAAAAAAAACAAACAAACCCTATCAGCTCTGTGTGTTTTTATTCAGGGCATAAAGATACAGTGGTGTCAAACATGCGGCCTGGGGGCCAGAAACAGCCCACTGGACGACTTTGCACATTTCAAAGTTTAAGACAGATTAACACAAGCAGGGAAACTGTGTTGAAGGTATTTCTAGATCTTGGCAGTTTGTTTGATCTGTTTTGTAAATGTAAAAATATTCTTGAACGTGTTTATATTAAAACACAAAAAAGTGTGTTATTGTGAAATTATTTTACTCTTTCAGCCCACGTGAGATCAAATTGGGTTCATTACTAAATCAAGTTTGACATGCCTGCATTACATGTTCTGTAAACAGTAATTAGGCCAATATTAAAGTTTACAGTGTTACAGTTATTGCCCTGAAAAAGTCCTGGATTGTAAAACAGAGAAAGAAATGTGAAACAACACATTTAGCCATGATACCATTATTTGTCCAAGTAGACTGACTATAGACCGTGTGACTGTTAGCATTCACATCTTCGTACTTATTAAAATCTATAAATAATTATCTGTAACTTACTGAAGATTTGTCAGGATATTTTAGCTGCAGTGCTGAACAAGTTTATCAAACCACCTCCAGTGTAAGGTTTATGCCACAGCTGTCCTTAAATTAACAGTAATAGTTATTACCAAAATAACCGTTTATGTTTCTGTAACAATTAATCAACCAGTATGCAAAACCTCTGCAATCCAAATTATATTTTTAATGCTAGAATATAATTATCCATGTTATCCATATCCAAATGTTCTCTTTTATCTATAAAAATGTGGATTCAGTTTGTAATTTGCCCGATAAACAGCAATTTCATTATAACATCATTTAGTTTTAAACAGGTTTTTGTTTTATTTCTCAAGTCTTTGTGTTTTCTTGTTTTTTTAAATGTCAGGTAGTCTAATAAACTTGTTAAGCACAAAGATCAAAGTCTTAAACATACCTAAGAATATTTTACAGGCAGTGTTTGATTGTTATTTTTGCTACATTATCTGATTTAAGTCCAGTTACATGTTTGCTGTAGTTTAAAACCTTGTTGAACTTGTTAAACCTGCTGTATACAAACATTTAACTACCTGTTTTAACCATGCCTGTATACACAGCTATTAACTGTCTATTTGCCTCACAGTTAGACCTAAAAGCCACACAGTGTCAACAGAATTGTCGCTGAACAGTTTATTTAGCTGTAAATCTGTTTCAACCTGACCAACAGATGGGCAAAGTTGAACCACAGTTGAAACTATTTTATTGAGTTTCATCTCACAGTAAAAACTGCATAGATCACAAGGAAGCAGAGTGTTAGGGCTGGCAGCTCTACACAGCACAAAAAGGAGGACTTCTCACCATCTGCAGACTCTTCTTATTTGAACCCTGATTCACTGTTTTGTTGCCAAAGTAAATACATTGATGTCGACCCATGTAAGACAAAAAGCTCCTGCAGGTGAAGCATGGACATTGAGTACTCAAAAAAACATATTAAGAAAATGAGAGAACACAATCACATTAACAACTAATGGATGCATGTGAATCTTACTGAAGTCATATGAGAGTTGCTAACAGGTGGGATAAAAACCTAACTGTGACATACGTGTAATTATCTGACAGCTGAAAAACCTAAACCTTGTAAAATAATGGAGAAAAAAGAACATTAAACACGTATGAAACTAGTTGTGATGTTCACAGATGGCCCACATGATGTTTTGATAGTCTGACCTGTCTTAAAGAAACTTATTGATAGTCATTTCTGCCTGGATGTACTTTAGATTACTCTGTTAACAGATTAAGATCATAGTTTATATCAGTATCAGTATAGCGCTCAGGCAGAACGCTGTCCACCTATTATCTGTTTTTCTTTTTATCTGTCTCCTACTATTAGCTGCTGTCCCTGGTTCTCAATTCATCTCCAACAAATCTGATGTTCATCCACTCATGAAGTTTTGTTTGTGTGAAGGAGTGGGCTCTGCTATGGATCAGTGTGAGGACAGAGAGGAGGGAGTCCCTCCCTCTAAAACCACTCTGTGTGGGGAACATGAGAGCCAGACCAAAGCTCAGAGGTGAGATGACCATCTCTAACTGTCCATGACTCTTCTCCATGTCACAGCTCAGCACTCACATCACTGCTCCATCATTATTCACAGGAACCAACCTGAACCCAGCTGTGTGTCCTTAAAGAGCAACGATTCAAAAGAACTTGCGACTGATTTCAAACAAAAAAGTTCCTCTAGTAAAACGTAAGTTGTTATCAATATTAACTGATTTAAAGAATTAACTTCAAATCCACATATGAAGTTTTTTCATGCAAGAATATTTATTTTTAGGATCCATCAGACGCTGAATTCTCCGAGACCTGAACCCAGCTGTGTGTCCTCAAAAAGTGAACGGCCAAATAATTTAAACACCAGTTTTAGACATACTGCCAAAAAGTAAGTTACCATAATATGAAAATGAATATTTTACATAAAAGTGTATGATTGTATAGGCTTCATAGAACAGCATTGATCACAGAGTCGACTCCTCTGAAGCTGAATCCAGCTGTGTGTCTGTGAATAGCAGCCAGTTCAAGAAGCCACTGCGACATTTTACACAGAAACTTTCTTCACAGGTAAAGTGAGTTAACCCCTCTGTGATGGCGAACCTCCTGTGTGTACAGAGTTTGTGAAAGATGTTCTGAATAACTCTCTCACAAGTACTTTCAACTCTAAAACTACAAATAGATTTGTAAAATTTGACAAATAGATAGATTTAGTGTTATATGTGCCACTGTTTATATCTTCCAGGAGAGTATATGCACTTTAATTATTTTACAAGATCCACAAGAGGCTGGAGCATTAAACTTAGAACTGCTAAAGCTGTAACTCCAGTTTGTGCTAGTTTTCACTAGTATTTTGGTCCTACATTGGGCCACTATTTGCTGTTTTAGTTGCACATTGACGCATTTTTTTTTTTTCAAGTGTTCAAATCTAACCCACAATAAAAGAAAGACAAAAATTTAAGCAAGATCTGGTCTAAAGTGAATAAAAGTCAGGAACAATGATTTACAGTTTTTTGCATGTGCTTTTGGATCCTTGAGTATTTTACTTGTACACCTAATTAATTATTATGACATAAACGTAAAAGACCTGATGACTTTCAAACAAGTGACTGGAATTAATTCATACTTTCAAAATAAACAGAAAACTCACAAGTGTCAGAAAACGTTTGCATTTTCTCCAAGAGATAATGGTTATTATTTCGTTACACTGATGTCATTACTGTAGCATTCCAGCCAGACTTTAATCAGACGATGCACTCAATGATCATTACGGATGGACCATGGTGGGGTACTCCAACCCATTTATTTACAAATTACCATAGACACATCGTAAGAGCTGTAATCATGACATAAAACAAAATAAACATTCACTTGATAGATTGATTCACGTTTCCGTTATGCTAATTAATTCACTGAAAAGGCATAGGAGGTGCTAGCATCAACCTGCTAGATCACTCATAAACTTATTAACAATCAAATAATACATTTACAAATTGTCCGAAATGTAAACAACAAGTACAACAAACAAACATACCTGTTCGCCTTCCAGCTAGATGCTAATTTAAAGATGGATGGAAAACGGTAACTTTCTCATTAACCGTTTCTATGGCAAGCAGTAGCAGTACGATCTTCCCGGAAGTTGCCCGTTCCGAATTTCAAAATAAGAGTCGAATCTATATTATACGGTATAATTCGTTCAGGGATTTAACTGTTTGAAAAATATCAATAAGATAAATAATCTGGGTCATTTACACTCCCACCAAATCATTAGTGTAACAAACATCATAACTCCATAACCATAGGAAGAGAGAACACAAATGATTTCACAATACAAATAATGACCAAACAACAGAAGCATAGTATGCAAGGAATGAACTAGTCATTTTCCAACAATAAGACTAGTTTTTGAACTGGCCGTTCGAGCACTGACCGCTTAGTAAGACGCTCACCATTTTTGCCAAGT